GAGAACCAGCCTGATGTATTCGCACCATTAACCACGTAAGTCTTCTTCCCCTTATCAAAGTAATATTGGATGGTGGTGCAATTGTCTAACTTTATGTCTGGAAGACAAATTCCAACGCTATCTTTTGTCAGTCGCACATCACACCATAAAGTGGTATCATTTGCACTGAAAAGTGAGACAGATTTGTAGGCATAGAAACTGGAATCGGGAAACAATCCTGAGAAGCCTCCCTTAGCTATTATTGCAGGAGAGTTACCTGTAATATAATAACATTTGTAGCATTCAGGATGGTGCAGAAAATTATAAGGCATCGAACATCATAGATAAAACTGTAATTCAATGCCTTCCAATAAAAACAAAACTATAGGTTATACTTGGAGAATATAAACAAGGTAAATGAATTGCAGAGAACAAAATTCCATTAAGAGTTGTGTAAGCAGGAATGCTGATAAAACAGAGAAATACAAGACTAAACCTGATACCACATGCAATTAGTTTGAGATCACTTGTCACACAGAAACAAATAACTACGATGAGTTAATTCAAAAGACAATGATGAAAAACAATTTTTGAAAGATCTAATGTTTATGCACCTCCTTGAAACTTTTTCCTGGACAGGGCCATTTTCACCAATATACTATATTTTGATCATCAATTTTCTGCAAGCATAGATCATATTTCACTATGTATTGGACCCTTTACTTTTTCAGCCATCAACAGTCCAAATTGAAGGTAACATCCTCAACATGTTAATCTTTCAAATTTAATTTCTTAGTATCCATGCATGATCTCAAATTCTCAATCACTCTTTGATATGGCTAAACAAGTATGATAACCATATACAATCCTCACAAATTTGTGCAAAGTACACATTAAATATTGGCAGAAACTGATTGGATTCTCATATTAGACTCATCGAATCATGAATATTCTGGAGGTTGTAGACCATAGTGCATGTGCAAAGATAATTGCTACTCGCTCAATAGTGTTTCTTAAGTATAATTCTAAGCTTTGCAAGATTCACCGATCAGTACTAGTACTTGACTGAAATTCTCTTTGGATCTTCGTCCATACCTCCTAATTGGCAAAGGTAAAGGAAATATTAGCAGCTAGAGACAAAATATAAAGTACCAAGTAACCCAATCGGCATTCGGGGTGATCAATTGAAATGTCATAGATATGTTTATATATCCCCAGTTAAGCAAACAACCACCTAAAATCTTGGTTGAGCATCTAGGAAATAAAAAGAACTCAGAATAATTTTAGGTTAAAAACTATCTTTCAAGTTTGAAAACAGCATCAGACTCTGCAAAACTTTAGATTTCTGATAAGCTCCAAAATTTTTTATCCCGTTAAATTCCTAGAAGAAGCTTCCTGTTATCGAACTTGATACAAAATCTTATAAACACGAATCACCAGCTTTACATGAAGATGAAATGTCTGGAGCAAATACCAAGTGAAAACAGAACTAACAAGGAACAAAAGATGCAGCTCCAAGCCACCCCGTAGCTATTTACAGGACAAGAATTTGGAGGGGATCCACCTTAAACATGGCATTTATTTTCCAAAAATACTAATTTCCAGATTAAAAAAAGGATGAAATGTTTCAAGAAAGAGAGCGAAACAAAAAATAAAGCCTTTTTTATTTTTTTTTTCTAGGAACAATATTGATGTGGATAAAAACGAAACAGAACTTTCCCCGAACGCCGCCGCCTGAAATCAAGCCCACCCAAGAACCCAGATGGCAAGCTCCTACCTTTCTTTCCCAATAACCAAGAAGAAAGAAAGAGTAGGAATGAGAAAGAGAGGGTACCGCTCAGCGTCCGCCAAGCCGATGAAGTCCGGGCAGTGGTGAGACCCAACTGCAGCCACAGGAAAGCCAGGAGGAAGGAGGAGACGTCCCCTCCGTGGATCCTCTTCCCCATTGCCCCCAAGCAAGAACAAATCCAAGTCGAGCTCGCACCCAGGCGCCCCCGACGGAGACAGACGGCCAAGAGACCGAACCGGGGCTGGGTTCTCCTCCACAACGGAAGAATCAACAACTGCAACGGTGGTGGCACGTGGAAGGGCGCAGGAGGAGATAGGGAGCGAACGGCGGCGAGGACGCGAGTGGTGATATGTGATTATATATTAGGATGTAGCATCGGCCAAGTCGGTCTTCCCTCTCGAAGAAAGTTTCAACCTTTCCTTTGTTTGATTCTTCCTTATAAATATATGATTTAAATTCCATTGTATTATCTACCGCCTACATTCGTTCATCGCCATTCCGCATCAAAGTCGAAACCTTGTGCTTCCTTTTCTTCTGTATTCATATGTATAAAGTCTCTTCTGAGTCGGACATTAGCACAAGTGGCGAAGGGATGATTGCGACTGGCGGCGGAGGATTGGAACTCAACCATGGCAGGACAAAGACAGCTCGGTGTTCGACTATCGGACACACAGACTTGTTCATATCCGATATCCTGCTTAGAGAGAGCCAGAGAGAGAGAGAGGGGTGTTGCTCCTGGTGCTTCCGGCTCTGGTATAAGGAACCAGGACAGGTGACGTGACGTGTTCGAAGTGGATGGAAGGAGGGTGAGAGAGGCTTGATTCCCACGAATATGGATCCAATGGGCTGTGAATGACTTGGAAATCTTAATCGAAAGGAGTGTGTTTTGTCACTATATAATTGCTGTTGGAGAGTCTGCGTCCGGTGTTTGATGAACTGTAGCTGCTGTAATATCAACTTCGGTTTACATTAGATTTTGATGTGTTTTGGTGTGTTCTTTTTGAACCGATCTAATTCTCTTGACGCCTGTTGTATCCATCTCAAGTCAAGTCTTGCTGTGTTCTCGTTGAACCGGTCCAAATTTTATCTCTTCACGCCTGTTGGGTCCATCTCAAGTCAAGTCTTCCTGTCTTTATTTCTAGGATATCTTCTGTGGTCTATTCAAGAAGGAAGCACGCGTGATGGCGTGTTGGTCTGTTCCCAGTTGAATTAGTCTAAGCTTTATTTGTATGCACTCATCGACACGAACACAGTTCATCATTTTAGAGCCAGACCGGTCTGTCTTTGCTTTGCTCTGGAGATAGCAATCCAAGCCACAATTTAACACCCTGTTCCACGAAAGAAGAGGTTGTTGTCATGCATCATCGATCGAGATTTTTATTTCCCCTCCATCGAGGGTCACTCAACCAAGCACTTTGGTTGCCTGGCAAGATTGTTTGCATCATGGACAAAATGAGTAGCATCGATTGATATTGACGCAAATGCAAAGCGACGTCAGAGTAACGTCAGTTCAATTATTATCGTCAATTTTTTTTCTCATTTCTCATCATCACTCTTCCTCCTCTTCGTAAAAGTCATAGATGTCCCTCAAACTTCATCTTCAAAATTTTATCTCGTTCATCTCCCAGAATATTCTCGAGATCTATCATAATCATTATTAAATCGTCATCACTATTACAATCGTCATTCGTCATTCGTCATCACTATAATATCGATAAGGTCAATCATAACATCAGTCTCTTTGACCATCGTCATAACAATCATCTATAGCCCTCAACGATATTATCGTTCATCACTAAAATTTTTTACTTAGAATATAACAAAAAATATATTTAAAATTATTTATTTATCAATTATTTTTATATAATTTCTATATGTATTATATGTTATATAATATTTCATAACTATATAAATTAATCTGCTTGAAATAACTCTGCATTTAATATTCTATAACAAACAGCATTCCCACAAGTGCGTGAGCTAAATATCCGCCATGGTCGTCTTGTTCCGGTCGTGCCCAGCTGGGCAGCGCCGGAACATGACAAAGAACTAAACTCGCATAGGAAGAAGAAAGATCAGAATTCATGCCACCGGAGAAATAACCTTTCCGTTCACTCATGATTCAAAGTGCCAGCACCAGTACGCAATCTTCTGGGTCACATTACAAAAAGGAGTGGTCTCCACGACAACCTGATAGTGTTCACCAATTCGAAGTCGCACCGGTCATCGCCCCCACATAGAAGGAAAGCCACATCTGTCATATCAGCTGGTGGTTGGCGCCATCTCTCAGGCTCCCGTGGCCACACCCAGCATGGTAGGGAAGGAGGACCTGTACCTGACGTCCACGTGGGTCCCGACCATGGTTGGCCTCTCGCGCTCTCTTCCGGTTCAGGCGAGAGAAGAAGCTGGCGCTCGACCGAATGCCGCGTACAGGTCGTCGGGTGGAGGAACACGGAAGGAGCCATTAATTTGGTGGGTTTTCCTCTCTCTTTAATTCTGGACTTCCAACCACGGCGTCGTCGCCGCCGGAAAATTTCCATCGAATCCGAATCGCTGAAACGCAGCCACTCGAACCCGAATCCGAACCCCGTTACGACCACAAGTTCCACCATCGAACGAAGGAACAATCTCAAAGCTTGGATTGCAAGGAGATCACGTATTCTGTATACTGTTTTGTTTGCTCGATCGACAGCATCCCATCGGCATGTTTGCATGGTCTTTTTTCTCAAACATTTGTGGGCAAGTTGTTTGGTGTCTTCGTGCTCTTGTGATCGAACTTCCACCAGTGTCCACATATGTCGTGGTCCGGCCTTTCAAGCAGCTCGTCTCTAACAAGCCCAGAAGTGGCAGATCCTCAGCGGTAACCGCGGGGAGGGTTAGGTTATCTACCCTTGATGAGCTCGTAGGATGTGCACGGGGTGGTGGCGTTTTTGGAGCCTCAGACACCTGAAATGAAAAGCCACAGCTGATGAGCAATATTAGGAGGATTTCGTCAAATTTATGAAGGAACTAAGAAGGTTATACAGTCTCAGCTGGCAACCCATTATGTTCCAAGAACTAGGAAGAACTGAGAGTACCCTCACCACATTTGGCACTGCCCAATATATGTGCTGTGTTGGTGTCTAACTTTGTCTACTTATATACGACTTGCTTGGTATAATATTGCAGCGAACGTAATGCTATTTTCCTTTATGATTACCCAAAGAAAAAGTATAGCAGTCTTTCTTATAAGGAGTAGAAGAAGACTGTGTATTTATTCTCTTCGCGAAGACAACATTTGGGAATGAAAGTAACAAAAGACTGACACTGTGTGACAAAGTCTTCGACACGAAAAAGACACTAGATTGGTGGGACACTCGTTCATGCCACAACATGCTTCGCCGACTCCCTCTCCACAGCCTTCTTGAGGAAGCTGCCTTCCTCCACCACCATCTGAACCGGCAGGAACCCCAGCCCGCTCGCCACCGCCAGCATCACCTCCCTCATCTCAGCCCGGAACTCCTCCAAGTCCACCGTTCCATTGCCGTCGCGATCGAATCGACCAAAGAGGCCAAGATATAGCTGCAGGAGCTCATCATGGCTCCACCCCGCTTCGTCCACGCCAAAGTGGGTCTCGCGCACCCTGAGGCTCATCAGCTCCCTCGCCATCTCCGGGTACGTGAGCAGCCCGTCGTGGTCCATGTCGAGGTTCGCGAACCGTTCCTCGACCGAGCCATTGAAGGCCCCCTCGTCTTCCACGAACTCGCGAATGGTCGATCCGTCCAATATTTCTACGCTCATCTTCGCTTTACCCAACCCAACACACCCTTAGGTACAGGAAGCACTCTGAAGTGCGAGAGAAAGAGCAAAGTCGGAATGTTTTGGAAGAAGGTTTGGTGTGGAGAAAAGAGTGGCAGCTGCTTGGGATTATATAGAAGTAGAGACAGAGACCATACACGCGATCAAACTTTCACTCCGCTGCTGCTGTGGGCAGCGAGCTCGTTGTTTGCTACTCCTGGTTTCATAACGACGGGCGCTGTCGCGTTTGGGCGCGTCGAAAAGAAGAAGATCACAGCAATATAGTCAAAGCACTACGACGAGCCGACACACAAGTCAATATGGTCAGAAACCATTTCCAGTTTCCAAACGTACAACTTCGAATCCCAGAGTCGGCTTAGTTGACCCGATGTATCTATCACCTTGAAACATTTTATAGAAGGTTCGAATAATAATAATAAATCTATTTCCTTTTTATATTTAAGCAAGAATTCTCACAAAGACAACCATTCATGCACTTTCCTTGAAGCATCAGCTCATGTTGCTTCTACCAAGGGAAATAGCTGCAGATTTTGCTTCCAGTGGCAGTTGCTTGCTGTGGGAGGATTAGTGGTTTGGATCCATCGACATTTTTGCAAATGAGACAAGATTGTGTGAATCTACAGACTATGTCCCATCTCATCAAAAAGTCAGCGTTAGGACTTGGGGTGGAGTGCAAGGTGGAAATAGTTTATAGATGCAACAGACGGGACATCAGTCGTAGGGTCTCTTTCAATTTCCAACCGATATGAGCTGCCGCTGAAGCTTCTTCGATTCTTCCCTTCCGGTTCACATTTTAGAGAAGGAAAAGGAGAGGAAGAATGGCCAACCCATGTCCTGCTTCCACCCTGCACAACTAGTTCTGATCATCACCTACTGCCATGACCAGCTGCTATCCATAACAATTCACTTCACTTCACTTCATCTTATATGAGCAGGTCTCCCATTCTTCCCTTGTCCCCTGAGTTTTGTGCCTCTTCAAACTCTTATTTTGAGGTCCCTTTGCGTCGGTTGGTTCTTCAGACTCTCCTCCTATCGCATTCTAAATGTTTAATGCATATTTTAGCTGCTGCTTTTATGCATTATAATTACTGTTGCATCATGATTTTAGTGGTTCCTTTCTTTCCACAGTTCTTGTTGGTTTTGTGAGTTGCTTTGTCAGTATCTTTCTTCCCTTTTACTAGCCTCCATAGTTTCATTGATTTACAGGGAATGCTCGTAGATCTTTGTGGCTGAGCAGTTCTTTTAGACAAGGGAAAGAATGTATTCATTGGTGTATTATCTTCTTGTTACAGTTGCTGGTTCTTTTGTTTGAGGTGCATCGCATCATGGTCAAGCGAACTCCCACTTTCATGATAGAGTGAAACAGCGGCAGCATTCTTTTTTAGCATTTAATTCTTGGGTATTTACTGTTTCTTGAAAGGTTGACAAAATCTAACTGCCAACTCGAAGGCAGGAGAAGGATTGAACTGGAGACATGGAGCTTTCAGAGATGTATCTTGCAACTACTCTGCTAGTCTTACTGGTTTCTTCTCCTGCAACAGCGCAAACACCCCCTGCACCAAATCAACCTCCACCCCTTCCCCAGCCCCTGCCCCGCCCCACTCCATGTAAACCTTACAGCACTTCTCTCAGCCACTGGTCCTTTCCATTCTTTCCTCGAGTATCTTCTACAGACCCGTGTCATCGATACCTTCCAAAACCAAGCTAACAATTCCGAACAAGGAATCACCATCTTTGTGCCGAAGGACGCAGCCTTTGCATGACTGAAGAGTTCGACTCTGGCCAACCTTACTCAAGACCAACTCAGGATCCGACTCCTCTACCTTCCCCAAGTTCTACTCGCTTTCCGATTTTAGGAACCTCAGCAACTTGAACCCTGTCAACACCTTCGCCGGTGGGCAGTACACTTCGAACGTCACAGAAGCCGCTGGCCTCGTTCATATCATTTCGTCTTGGTCAAGATCAAAGATATCTAGCAGTGTGCACTCGACCGTCCCGGTTGATCGATCGCGTTCTACTTCCCTTGGCAATCTTCAGCACTGATCCACCTCTGTCACCAGCTCCCGCCCCTGCTCCGGGGCCTGCAAAGCCATCGGATTCGACTCCAAGCCGCGGTGGAATTGTTTCTGCTCCTAAATCTTCAGAGTCGTCGAGGACCGGTGGTTCTTCATACAGCGCCCGTGTTGGTCTCTTAAACTACTTCGTCTTGGCTCTTTCGGGCGGTCTGATGTTTGCTCTATAGCATCTCCACACGTTCGGTGCCATGGCTTTGTTTTGATTCAGTTGTTTTGGTCTTCTTTTGGATGGAGTTGTGATACATTGTTTAAATGGGGGTTTTGCCTCCTGTATTCTGAGATCTTGCTATCCTTCAGATTTTGTTCTTTGTCACGCGTCTAGAATAGCTCTGCATTCAATGTGCTTAGCTCCATTTGCCACGCACATTTCGCATCTTTCATCTAGTGGCCACCCTACCTTGTCATGCACACAGAACCCAAAATCTGCAATAGAAGAATTGGGTGTAAATGAGCCATCGCAGCTATATATCTTAACATCTTCTTCTTCCTCCAACGCTTCCATCCTCTCCATCTCTCACTGAGCAATCTCCTTGTAGTTCTCTTGCAGCTGGCAATAGTCTTTTGTATACGCCATCACCCTATACCAGATGTTAGTAGAAGAGAACAAATTGTTTTTAAAGTGGGCTTCATTCCTATTCGATCATAACATCCAATGGGAGATTTGGAAAGGTGCTCGCCTTCTTCTAATCATGCCCCTTGGTGTCAGCGATCAAAGGTACCAAATTGCATGTTAAATTTCTGTTTCAGTAGTTTTCAGTGTTGCATTGCCTCTATATAATTAAAGAAAATGTTGTGATGAGTCTTGATATAGTTTAAAATCGAACACACATCCACCAAGCAAGGAGCCTGAGTACAAATCCATCTATCCTTGCCCGAATTGGATTGGTGGAGTAGTCCTTGAGACACCGTCATGGGTTTCCGAGGGGGAAGGAACCGAATCGGATGGGTGCCTCCCCGGATCTTCTCTTCCATCACCCCACGAGATTGGGGCCAGTGGAGAATCCAAAGGTATATAAGAAAGAAGGAACTTCGAGCACAGAGTACGGAGAAACCCCAGAGAAAAGTTCCAAAGTCGCAGTTTTGCGGGTTGTAATTTTCACTTTCGGCCAAATCTTCGACTCCCACAGGTCCGCTTCCGCCCTCTATCTAGATCGGTTTAGTGGGTTATGAGTTAATATCTAGGTCTCGACTCCTGCTTTAACTATGACTATCAGGTTTGTTTCGACGAAAGTTGTAATTTTTCCCGTTTGAGATTGGTAAATTTTGTGCTCGCTTGTGTAATTTGGATTTGAGTCGGCTCCAAGATCGGAAATTTTGGTTGCGCTTTGGTCGGAGAGAGTCGTAGAATCAGAAAGAAGTTCATTTGATCGAGAAAGAATGTTGGGGTATGGTGGTGTTCTCGTCGCTGATCCCTGGCTCCAAAACCAATTCACTCAGGTGGAGCTTCGACGCCTCAGGTCTAAGGTAAGCGATCCCTGAGACGGGAAATGTGCCTTCTTTTTCCTCTAGTTTGATCCATTTTCAAGCTGCTTCTTGATTTGAGAACTCTGTTGCTGATTCTGCGGCTGCATTGGCTTCCTTAGTTTGTTTCGGCAAAAAGGGAGATGGGTCATGTGACAGTCAACGTGTTGCCTCCACTGATGGGAAAGCTTAAGGGCCTGAATCAGGTGGTCATGGAACCAGAGATTGCTAATTTCTTAGCCGAATCCTACCCGGATACCAACCGTGAGGTAGACTTCGAATTGTTCCTTCAGGTAATTCAGATCCATGAATCCCAAGTTATTCTTCTTCTTCTTTGGTCGATCGTAATTTGTCTTTGAGGGGGCAGAGGCAGGTCTCACTGTGATGAAACTGATGCATTGGACAGGTGTATTTGGATCTTAAAGCAAAGGTAGCACCCAAATCAAGCAGTGTGAAGGGCTGCTGGTCATTCTTGAAGGCAACCACGACCACACACTTGCACACTATAAATGAATCAGAGAAGGCATCTTATGTTGCACACATCAACAACTATCTTGGAGAAGACCCATTCTTGCAAAAGTATCTGCCACTGGATCCAGCAACAAATGATCTGTTCAATCTTGTTAAAGATGGAGTTCTTCTATGGTAGGTTGTTATCATTCACTTATTGAGCATGAAATATTGAATGCGATAATTGACTCATTAATTTATTGAGATTGAACCATTGATCCAAAATTCTTAAGTTTAAACTAATAATAGGTCATCCATGAGATTGTTATATGTCAATCCAAGTCTTTCTCCACTTTTGATATAGGACTAAACCCCATATGCTTAAAGCTTAAGTTAATAATAGTACACTCATAAGACCCTCTCTGTGCCGATGTTAAGACAACTTTGATACTATATGTCACTCTACCAATGTCCAATGCCATCTACTCAAGCCGACTTTGATACCATTTATTATGACCCGATTCAACAAGCCTCAACAATTGGCCTAAATATTTAAAATCAAATTAAGAATAGGGCACCCATGAGAGTTTTATTAGTCAATCCTGATTTTTACCCAATTTCGAAATAGGACTAAAATGGAGTATTATATCTAAGTTTTCATATTTAAATTCAGGAAACACAAATATATACATGTAAGCAAGGCAGATCTATGTTGTTGAGTTATTTCAAAAACTTATGTTACCTATGTTATATATGATTTTTACTAAGAACATTTTTCATGTTGGCAGCTGTTTCTAACAAAAGCTTTCTTATCTGATATATTTTATTTTCGTAATTTTCTTCAGTAAGTTAATCAATGCTGCCGTTCCGGGGACTATAGATGAGAGAGCAATCAATACCAAACAAGGACTTAACCATTGGGAGAAGAATGAGAATCACACTCTTTGCTTGAATTCTGCAAAGGCTATTGGGTGCATTGTAGTTAATATTGGAACTCAGGACTTAATAGAAGGGAGAGTAAGTAGATTATTTTCCATTCAATATAAGCTACCTTTTATTGGAGTTTGTTTTTTTTTTCTTTATCAGCATTTATGAAGAAAAAATTGGCTGTTTTGTCAAACTTATTTGTTGGTGAGCTTTATGTCTCTTCTTGCTTGTCTTGCTGTATGAGGAACACCAACTGAAGAAGGTTTAAAAATGATTATTTAAAGTTTGTCCCTGTATTCTGTCATACTTAAAAATGAATAGAATTATCACTCTTTAAATTGCAGACACCTTACATCATTGTTTAGTGCACTTTAACTATTGAAGCATCTTAACAAAGGTTGATTGGATTATGAAAAAACTCATTGTGTGCTTGTCAGCGGAAAATTTTCATGTCTTAAAGGATGATTTAAATCCTGCAATTAATATATTGAAGAAAGTAGTTGAACCATCCATAGGTTTTGTTTCGTTTTGTCCACTGTCTCTGTGGGATGATTTTCTGAATATTTTTGTATCTATTGTTTTTCAATTTACATATGTTACTTTCTACCAACTAATCTGCGGTGCAGTTCTAATAGTGAGATTGAAGAAGTTTTGTTTTCATGCAGCCTCATTTGGTGCTTGGGTTGATATTTCAGATCATAAAGGTACGTACCGAACATGTTTGCTGTGATGCTCCAGTATTCCCACGTCTGGAGTTTTGGTGGTGGATAACAAATATATAGAGCTAGATTTATCTGCTACCACTGAATTGGACTTAAACATTTTGGATCACATGTTCTTCAGCCAATTATATCCAAGTTATTAGGTCAGTAAGTCAATTGGGCTCGGTCATGACATTGCAATATGTTTACCTATAGTTCATTGCTAAAATGAGGTACTCTAGGAATATCACGTGGCTTTGAACTTGGTGGTTTATTGAGTTAGGTTAGTTCTTTTTTCTGAAAAGATATGACTTGCAAGTTGCAACGATGACCATAATTTGAGAAGTCCGAACTCCAAAGAATCATAATTTTTCCGGTTATCGTGTATCAGATAAAACTTTTGGCAGATCTTAACCTCAAGAAGACACCTCAGCTCATGGAATTGGTTGATGACAACAAGGTCAAGTAATAGACAGCCTTTTTTTTATACTCTCTTTTGATGTTTTAAAGCAACTGATAAAGCATAGATAAACTACTTCCAATCTGGTATTCTTTATTTATAGGATGTGGAGGAACTAATGAGCCTAGCGCCAGAAAAGATGTTGCTAAAATGGATGAATTTTCATCTCAAGAGAGCAGGCTACAAAAAAACTGTGACAAATTTTTCTTCAGATGTGAAGGTACATGTTAATTGTACGCATTATATAAGATTCTAATTTTCTGATCAATTTTTTCGCATCATGTCGGAACTGCTAGCAAAGAATTTAAACTTCACAGCAAGGTTTGCAGTTTCAGTTACAGGACCTGTGCTGGTCCATGGCTGGACTAGTATGGGCCTGGTCCATTCCGATGTATTATGTGTTAGTACACCGGAATGTACCGCCAACTGTTGGGGGAGGGAGAGAAGGAAGTGGAAGAAGGAAGAAGAGCAAGAAAAAAGCAAGGAAAAGAAGCAGGAAGAAAGGGAGGAGGAGGATGATGAGGAGGAGGAAGAAGGAAAAAAAAGAAAGAAAAAGACGAGGTGTATCTAGCAAGTGGTGAGCGGCGAGGGACGACAGATGCAGGCGATGGCAGGCGCAGACAATAACTTAGTGTTTTATTATTATTATTTTTATAATTAAAACGATCCAGTCAGAGGCCTTCCCACCCAGTTTGCTGGATTACAATTCAGTAATTCAGTTTACTGGATTACTTAGACATTTGTAATATTGGGCCACAAGATTTTAGGTTCATTAATTTAATGATTATTCTATTTTATCTTGTCAAGTTAAATGGTATCACAGTGAATCTAGTTCTAGTTGTTACAAGAGGGCTCAGTTCGGAAAAGACTATCTATGAATGGGACTAAATCCACATCATGATATGATATGGAGTCATTATTCGATTGAGCACAATTCTAAGTCTTGGATTTTGGGTTTTGACAATGGTGTCAAGCCTTTGCATGGAGGAGATTGTGAAAGTCTGAATGGTTCAACATCAGAAGTAGGTGGATGATTATGATAATATTAGAGTTAGATAAACTTATCAATTTAAGTCACATAATACTAGGCTAGTTGTTAATGAATTATTTTTCCATCAAGTGGGATCTCGGCAATTGCACTTACATAAATGAAAACTTAGGTCTTTGACAACTGGTTTTTATATACTGTTATTCTCTTTCTGTATAATTTATCCATAATTTATTTTAACTCTAATGCTCCTTGAGCTTATCTAATTTATAGGATGGGAGGGCCTATGCTTACCTTCTTGACGCTCTTGCCCCTGAGCTTTCACAAACTTTGGATATTAAAGATCGTAATGAAAGGGCAAAACGAGTTATTGAACAAGCTGAGATGCTGGGTTGCGAAAGATACTTGAGTCCAAAAGACATTGTTGAAGGCTCTCCCAACTTGAACCTTGCATTTGTTGCACAAATATTTCAGCATAAGTTAGAACTTGCAGCTGCTTTTCTATTAACCTATGCTTCTTTTAGGATGCTGCATGCCAATTATGTGTTCTATGCAGGAATGGTTTATCCTCTGACAATAAATATATATCTTTATCACAAACAATGCCTGGTGACATCCAAGTTTCTCGGGAAGAAAGAGCTTTTCAATTATGGATCAACAGTCTTGGAATTGTTACATATGTTAACAATTTGTTTGAGGATATCAGGAATGGGTAAGAGCTCTGAAATAAAAGATGATTTACTCGCTTGGTTTCCTTATTAATATAAAGATATTTGCAGATGGGTTCTTTTGGAAGCACTTGACAAAGTGTCTCCAGGATCAGTTAATTGGAGGCAGGCAACAAAGCCTCCAATTAAGATGCCCTTTAGAAAAGTTGAAAACTGCAACCAAGTTATAAAGGTTGGGAAGCGGTTGAACTTTTCACTAGTAAATGTTGCTGGCAGTGACATTGTGCAAGGAAATAAAAAGCTTATTCTTGGTGAGTTGTTTTTATTTCAAGACCTTTAGCACTTGTGTTTTGTTCCATTTAGTTAATTTTCTTGTTATACTTGTTTTACATATTTCTCTTATCTTGCCTGTATTTTCTATATCTTTTCCAACCTAGTTAGAATGTGGTATATGGCATGCAACTAATAAAAAAGGTCCATTTGGAGATTTGACAAAAAATTGAAAACTGGTTCCTATGTCCTAAGCACCTTATTTCTATCCAGCGTAAATTAAGGGAGTGACTTGTTGAAAACCTTAAGGATAATCCACAAATGGAAAGTTCTACCTTATTGGTTGCAGTTCAAGGTCATGCAACTGTTTGTTCAACTGTCTCAAAGTTTCCTAGAATCAGAGAAATTTCTAGAAGCATAAAAAAATAATGAAATATGTTATGAAAAGACATTAATCTCAACAGCACAACTACATGCTGATTCACCAAATCCTTTTATTTAATACAGTGCCAGTCATGCCTAATGCATGATGAAGTAAAGCTAATCTTCCTTGAAGAATATTTTATCACTGACCTATCTAACATGCATTGTTAAATTCATGAGAATTCTAACTTACGACTATTGATTAATTAATTCAATGATCCACTTTTTGCAAGTTGCTATACTACTAGACTACTAGTTTGGAACATTATTTCACAGCCTCATATCCTTGTACTTTCTTCTCTAATGTTTCCAATTTTTTGTGGCACACCATGATGTTAATTGACAAATGATAAGCCTTGGAACCATGACAAGGTACTTTTTGGTTTGAGTCACAGAAACAACTCTCTGCTTGTAGGAATAAAGTTGTACCAATATTTAACTCTCCTCAGGCCCCACACTGGCAGAAACCTTGTGCACTAAACTGTCCTCATATTGATTGGTGACATGAACATGACAACGACACCGTCAGCTATGCGTTGCTAGCAATGCAGTTTTTAAGAGGATGAGAAAGAGGGAGCAATGCACCAAGAAGGCCGAAGATCATTTACGGAAGTGCTGCTACAAGGAAACAATAAAGAAAAGCCCTTTCTTCCGAATCTTACAACTGTTTTATTCTTTTTGAAATGATTAATTCTATGGTTTACTTGGCTAAAATTTGCAGCAAACTTGTAAAATGTAAAAGAAAAAGCTCATTCCAAAAGGTTATACCTGTTTAGTACTAGAGGGATCTCATTGCCATTTCCTTTGTTGAAATGTAGGTGCCATCCAGGATGGAATCAGTGTGGCTGAATCTGAACTCCATTTTTTTTTTTTTGTGTTTTTGGCTGTTCCACACCATGAAATGAAAAAGGAAGAAAGAAACACCAAAAGATGGCTCTACTAATAATAAGCATATTAAGCTAGAAAAAATTGTTTGTTTGGTTTATAGGCTTTTGAGGTTGCTTTATAACATGGCTGCAGATTTGTCTACAATATGTACAGTTTCTTTCAAACGCTTTGCATATAGGAAAAGGTTTTATGAATTTTCATGTGGACAACCCCTGTTTAGTCTATATGACTATGCTAAATTAATTTTTAATTTCTTGGGCATAATTTTTCATGCATGGAGGTCAAGAAAGTGATTCCAATACTTTTGATGTGGAAAACTCCTACTTATGCCTTTTAGTTAACAATAGATGTTCTCCCATTTTACTTGTGTTTTTGCTGCAAGAGTAGATGTCCTTTGTTTTGTTTTTCTTTTTGCTGCAGTTGCTTTTATCATAATCTGCACTGGCAGATTGCAGATGACTAGCTTGTCGGAACTTCCATTTCCCTGAGTAATGATCAACAAAACATTTCAAAACGAACCTTGTCTGTCTACCACTATCACTATCGTTAATGAACTTTTTTTTAACATATTAACTATGAAATGAGATGTCTCTCTTACATATAAAGTTTGTTGATCAGCTGTCAGCCTGTTTTGATAATTTGGGCAAGTTTGTTTGAATTCCTTTTTCCTAAAATCAAAACAACACACAAGACCCCTTCATTGTGCATTTTTCAGCTTATCTGTGGCAGCTAATGCGTTTCAACAGTCTTCAACTTCTAAAGAACTTGAGATTTCACACCCGAGGAAAAGAAATATCAGATGCTGGTATCTTAGATTGGGCCAACAATAAAGTCAAGGAATCAGGCAGAACTTCTCGAATGGAGAGTTTCAAGGTACCGTCAAGTCTCAATACATCTTACGTGGATAGCAAGCTGTTTAGATAATGCACTCTTATTTCTCTTCTCTTTTTTTATTTCTTTTTAGGATAAAAATTTGTCAAGTGGAATATTTTTCCTTGAGCTTCTCAGTGCTGTGGAGCCGAGGGTGGTAAACTGGAAGCTCGTTACACGGGGTGTAAATGGTATCATTACTAATTAGTAACCAAATTTAAGATTTGTTTATTATGTGATTTTTGCAAAACGAATTGGCCTTGGGACAAAAAGTTTATGAATATTTGGGAAGAATCACATCTTCTTTATTGAAAATGTTCTAATCATATGTTGCCCCACTTTAATGGTAACATCCTGCTGCAGATGAGGAAAAGATGTTGAATGCTACATACATTATCAGTGTAGCGAGAAAGCTTGGATGTTCTGTATTTTTGTTGCCTGAGGATATCATTGAGGTAAAATCAGCTTATTTAAGATATTCTTTTGGGATTGCTACTTTCATATTTGCATGTTGTCGTTTGCAGACCTGGTAGATTAAATGAACTGTTAATAGCTCCATGTAGGTCTTCCTTTCTCTAGTTTACTAGAATCAGCACATAGTTTAAAATCACGTAATCTTCTTGACCCAATCTGCTTTCAATGCGCTGTCATCTTAGTTTGTTTGGTAGACCTGATATCATTCATGGGAATGAACAGAGTAGTAGCTGCAATTGTCTAAGTGCAATACCCTACGAAGGAGTCACCACGAAGCCGATGTCTTTTATCTCTAAATTGGATGTTTACTGTTGCATGGTATGGCTTATGACAGGTAAACCAGAAGATGATCCTTGCCCTTACTGCCAGCATCATGTATTGGAGTCTGGGGAAGCCTAGAGGAAACTCTTAACAGGCGAGTCTCCAGCTAAAGTTTCGGGAGCTGTCGGCTGATGATGGTGAAGATGGAAGTACTGTTGCACGGAGCATTTGAGACCTGACAATTGATGATGCTGCCTCTGAAACCTCACAGACAGAAAATGGCAATGGAATCAATGGAGAGTGATTTTGTTTACATATTAATAGAGTAGAAGTCTGGTAGGTAATATCTATATTTTTCTCTAGATTACTGTCGATAGTCTATGCTTTTGCTTTTTCTACTTCTGACTTTTCGATAGGGTGGAGAGAGAATAAAGAAAGATTTAGGCTTGAAATGCATTTGTAGGTTTCTTTTTTTGATGTAGTTGTTCTTTGATAATTCGTGTTCTTTTCTGAACAATGAAGGAAAAAAAAATGTGTTCTTTTTTGAAGGAATATATCTTGGCATGCAATATTGGTATTGGATTATGTTACTTATGATTTATCTTGTAAACATAGTATTTATTGGATTACAAAACAAGATTGAGTTTACTTTAGATGTTACCTAAATAAGTTGTGTTAACCACAATGTAGTATTGGCCTTAATTTTACATTTCCAGTTTATGATTTCAGCCTTGTTCTTGCCTCACAAAAAAAGGAAAAAAGACATTATCCGAAGAAAGAACTGATTTTGGCTATTGAAGAGGAGTAAACCAGAAACAACACCCTAACAGCAGACAAAAAATTATTTTGAGAGAAGCAATTGCAGAGATGATTTCATCAGAAATTAAATTTACTTTTCCTTTTGACAGCCAAAAATAATATTTACTACATATCAGGTGGTTGATAAATTAGAGTTCCCCACTGTGGCTGACGACTGAAATCTAATACAGGGCACACAGCAAATTTACTTTCTTGCTCATGGTACACTATGCTTCAGATACACAAGCACAAGGTGCCGGGATTTGGCACACTATCAATGGGTGCAGACAATACATTCACACACTGCATGGAGCACTTACTACAATCTAGTTAAACGAGAAGTGCAAACAATCCCATTTCTCATTTCCTTCTTTTTCTTAATCTTATTATGCCCTCAAATAAAAGAAAATAAGAGAACATAATTCTAGAACCATGGTTTATCTTACACTTTGACAACAAACAAAATGAGAAGAAAAAAATCCACTCATTTGGGATTCTGATGATACAACACAAGTTACACCCTGGGGGATGCCTGATCAAAATGCTTCCTTTCTATTGGATCACTGTGAACTTTGTTATCCTCTCGTTCTGCTACGAGCATAAGCACTTCTAGTCGCTTGTCAAATAAAGCTGCACTTTCGTCTCTCTTGTCAAGCTCTGCTGCTTCGGCCTCCAACCATTTCTCTCGCAAATCATCGAGAAGGTTGCCCTGATCAGAGTTACCTGTAGAACCTGGAGCGCTGGGGCGAGTAGTCCTCAAAGAGGAGTCTCCAGATGGTGGTGGGAAAGTCAAAAGCATGGCCCGAAACTCACGAGTGTCAGCAAAAGTCTCAAAATTACAAGCAATGACATCTAGGCAATATTCTCTTATCTTCAAAACACCATACCTGCATCACATGAGAGACCAGCCTTAGAATATATAAACATTAAGAAATAGAAATTTCATCTCGACTCTAATTTGGACTTCTATGAATAACAAAAAAATTTGGATACAAGGAATTGATAATCATATCCGATGGATAATGTTGAGCACTAACAAAAGTTCCAACGTAAAGGGAACCTAGCAGAAAAAATTAACAGAGCACATTCAATACTATCAGGGCCTAGCAATATCAAATCAACTTTTGCTAAAGCCACACTAATGGATAGGTGGATAAATGAATATACATGTTCAATTTATCTGGCAACAAAAGTTTAACATTGGCAAAGAGAAGTAACTTTCTCAATGAAAACCTTCATATTTACTGGCAATAAAAATTCAACATCCACAAAAATAAGGAACTTTCTCATCAAAACCACATCATGATATATCACTAAATTGTTATCTGGATTAAATATAACATAAGAAATTCTTCAGGGCACCCTTTATCAAGCATGTCTGTCATAATTTGTAACAGCAGCAAACTTGATTTCCATTTCGCATTACACTAAAATTCTGGTCTTCTCTTCTTAGGGAACATTGCATGTCACAATTACTGTTGATAAGTGAACATATCAATTAACTTTTGACTTTATGCTAACCTTTCTACTATCTTATCTGTACCAGAGGACCCGTATCTGGATTTCTTGGAGGAAGAAATGAAAATATAATAAGATGTCATAGCACTAAGGCTTCTCAGAAGAATGATAATATATTTTATGTCACAGTCATGAAGTCTATGGCTGATGATATCTATTGTGTGATATCGACCCAGTTGGGATACTTCTAGATCTGTCTAAAGTTAAATGAACTTGATCTTGAAATCAAAATTATAAATCTTGCATCTCCTTTCATGAGCCATGGCTAATCATGTGCACTTTGTGACACCTGCCAAGAAGGATGCTTCATAGCCAATTAAAGTCAGTGATCATGCAAGGAAATTAATGTATTTACTTGATTAAAAAAAAGTGGGTATTAGAGTCACATAGATAGGCACAAGCTTTGACTGGATGAACAGGCATGGAAGTCAGGGGACATCCATCACAAAATAATGCTAAAATAGAAGAGACCGTACATGTCTGATAATATCAGCCAGTGACAAAGTTCAGCAGGTGAGACCAGCTCTAGGTGTGGTAACAGCACATCTGCAACAGCACGTTTAAGAGGGAATAACAAGTATCTTGAAGCAGCATCAAATATTTCTTCAGCCTGTACAATTATTCAGAATTAGGAATTGAGAAGAAACCTAAACACTTTAGGCCTCATTTTGTCTTACAAATTGTAAGTGTAGTACCTGATCAGGTTCCATATCTTTCAAGCCATCTGTGTACCTAAGTTTTATAAGATGTGTTAGAAGCAAGAAAGATCTGAATTAAAGAAACCAACAAAGCTACAGCAATTTGCATGCCTACATATACTCAATCATCTTCTCAAAGGCCTCTGTACTTAAGTCATGCTCTTCAAGAAATGGAAGGGTGAAACTTGACAGCTCATTATTCCCATCAAGGAAATCTGTCATCCGAGACAACCTTGCCCTGAAATATTCTGATCTGGAGGCCAGGATTACCTGGTGACACCTGTAGATCCTTCTACCAACTTTTATACAAATGTCAGCTAGGTCATTGCTCGGCTGGCTCATCTGTATCTCAAGTCTGTCAACACTATCGTTGTTTCGCCCACAAGAGTTGGCAAGAGAAACCTGCAGAATGCGGTGTAGAGCAAAAGGAAGCCGATCCTGCTCCGGCAGGGAGAGACCTTGCAAGATGAACCTTTTTTGAGAATTATCAACATCCTTTAATGATTTATACTCTGCATATCTTTGATGAATCAATTCTTTCTGTAAGATATTTTGCAATTCATCACACTTGCAAGCTCTGCATGTGCGAGCAAGATCCTCCATGTCATCAACTGCAACCTCGAGTCTATCCGAGTAGAAGAAGTGAATAAGACTGTACAAAGCATGATAAGACAATTTTTGGCTAGAGAATCTCACTTCCTTTCTGTCCTTCCAATCTGTCTCAAATTTCTTTTTGAAGAATGGTGACCGAGCACTTAAGACAACCCGATGAGCTTCAATTGGTTTTCCGTCAACATAGAATGTAATATCTGGGGGAAAGGGACTAGAAGTGGATCCATCACTCAGTGGTAAGTAACCTATTCACCCAGTAGTAAACTTGTTAGTGTCATTCAAACTAGTACCTAAGGTTTTGAAAATTATAATAAATGTACACAAAATACTGACATCTGATTATATGGTGTTATATTCTCTAATGCCAGTTGATACTACATTACATACATCTTATACTCAAAATCGGAGGCTAATTTAACATTCTTGTTCCTGAATGTGGTACATTTCAAGGTACCTAAATTTTGGCAGTTTGCAAATCACTAGTCACTAGATAGTTGCACCTTACTTAATATCCATAAAAAAGGCTACAACATCATTATATAGAGGATATGTGGCCATATCATGAAATGTCTAATATAAGTTGGATCTGGTCAGCAATGTCTAAAAGTTCTAAAGTCCCCCTTGACTCACCAATGAATTTCCTAGCTACCATGTATAGCATTAGCAATCGATCAAGTACCAGTAGATTTCTGAAGGTTAGACAGGATCTACCATCTTTACATGGCATTGTGGTGACGTTCCCTCTTAATGTTTTCCAAGTTCATTTGGATTATCTTAGAGTAATACTTGAGGTCGCACGGCATTCTAAAGCACTATTAATTGGTCAATCAGATGTCAAAGCCGCTATGGATCTCCAACTCTTATCACCTATTTCATCAAGATAGACACCTTCTGATATGATCCATACACTTATTACCTTCCCCTTCTTTTATCAACTCTTTGTCTTCTTATGCCTCCAATATGAATGTATTTTGTATCTAGATTCTTTCCAAGTGCACGGTAACTTCTACAAAAACGAGTCTTTAGTTTCATGAGCAACCTAAAAAAGATGAAGAGGTAAATGCCCTCTATAGAAAATCACTCAACCAGACAGATAGCCATAGCTGACAATGCAGGCATAACCGATAGAAGGACCAGTCCCGACTTGAAAGATTAGATAGACAGGTCTCAATTAGTCAGTGGGCTCTTCTATATATCTACGCTTGCAAATCTCTTCTAAATATACAATGTCAAGTTTATATGCTCCCAATTTATCAAAATAAATTGAATGATCATATGCCTATGATAATGTGAACTATGACAGCGAGTGGAAAACGTTCGTAATTAGCCAGAAGAGCAAGAAATTACGAAAGTGTTGAGCAACGCCTTCAATTTCAGTAATGGAAACCAGATAAGTAAATAAAGGATGGAACTTTACACGAGAAGATTGGAACTAACCTGCGGCGCACGCGGCCGAGCCAGCACCAGCTTCCCACTGTTCGATGTAGGCGCGGCGGTTGGCGGCGCAAGAGAGAAACGTGTCACGGAGGGCGGCGGGCAAGGGAGCGAGCGGGGGCGGGCGCGCCTCGAAGGCCTTGAGGAGACGGCGAACGCGGAGATTGAGGGCCGCGTAGTGGCAGCGGTCGCCGTCGAAGGTGCGCTCTGAGCAGATGGCGCCGGCGTCGAGGAGCATGCGAGCGGCATCGACGTGGCCGGCGAGGCAGGCATAGTATAGCGCGACGGAATCCCAGGGGTCGCGGGCGTTGACGTTGACGCCGGAGTCAAGGAGGTAGCGGAGGCGGTCGAGGTCTCCGGCACGGGCCGCTTCGAAGAGATCGCCTGCGGGGACCCTCTTGAGGGGCACGGAGGGCTGTAGGTCCTCCGGGTCGAGGTCCATCTCGCCCAGCTCCGCCTCCATCTCCCACCGCTGCCGGCTCGACGTCTCATCCATTCCGAAGTCCTTGCGGCCGCAGCCCCCCACGAAGTCCAAGTGAGGAGAAAGCGGAATGGTTTCGGCTTAGACATTGGATTCAATTCTTCTTCTTCTTATGATATTGGGCTAGGTGTAAGGCCCAATAGCCCAATTACTTAGTTCCTAGACGCATGCTATAATGGATCCATCGCCTCGTTCGGATCCTCATTTGGATCCGATAATTCTATATCGGATCATTGCTTAGACTGTTCTGCCGTATCATTTGAACAACAGATACTTGACCGACACCTCCTTCCTTCCTGTCTCCGGTGTCTTCGTCCTCTCCTCTCCTCTCCTTATCCTTCCACCCCTCGCAAACCCCCTTGGCGATAAAACCCTAACCGTAATGCTAACATCCCTGAGCAATCCCCGACTCCTCCCTTCCCACATCCTTCCCTTCGATCAGCGCCACCCAGTGCTTCATCGATCACCCTCAATCACTGCCTACGACGGCAGCGGCAGCCGCGACGGAGACCGCTTCCGGGCGCTGTCCTTGAAGAGGTCGGGGTTCCTCTCGGTGATTGACCGGGCGATGGAGGAGGAGGAGGAGTACCGGAAGGCCAGGGCGGAGGTCCAGCGTAAGGGGGTGGACGTGGAAGGCTACTCGATCGAAGGGATTTCCGTAGGCGGCCACGAGACCTGCGTTATGGTCCCGAGTTTGAACGTCGCGTTTGACATTGGCCGGTGCCCGTCTAAAGCTGTCCACCAGGATTTTCTCTTTATCACTCACGCTCACCTCGACCACATTGTAAGCTCGCTCGCGCTTTTCTGCAAGAAACGGAAGTTCTATGATCTTCCGATAAAAAGTGGATCTTGATTCATATGCTTATCTCTTTCGTTGTCTATTTGAAATATAGTCCTTTGTTTAGTTGGACAGAACTTGGAATCTCCTAATTAATATTTGAAACCAAGTGAAATGAATGAAGGAAAGTTTTTAGTGTCGGTCATCAAGTGGGCCAACAATTTGATAACATAAACAAAGGAGAAGAGTCAGAACAGGAGTTCTTGAACTCTAATTTTTAACTATTTTGCCGGTTAAATATTTGATCAGATGAAATTTCAAATTCTACAAATTTGCTTTTGGCGCATTGAATTCATTTAATATGATGCTCTATACAACCGATCCTCCAGTTTATCTGGAATAGAGCATATGGAAGTGTATTTATAGGTCCACAATATACAAACGCATCCTCCAAAAGTTTGGAGAGTCTATGTGGTGGTTACCATAGGAAATACTGTTGCTGAAAAATTCATTTTCTTCTTTCACAGAAAAGGTTTACAGTTGTTGATGATACACTATAGCATCTTGGAACTGACATAAAAGGTAACACGGTACTGATTGTTGTGCAATATCTTTCATTCATGATGCAGATTAATTTTTTCCACTAGTTCTAGGAAATCTAATGGCAAGCCATCTTTGTCTTCACTTCTCTTAACATAATAGTAATAACATCACTAATGCCATCAGTCTTTTCTGCAGTTCTTGAAAAATTAACACTTCATGGGCTCCCATTGGCATTTACCTTGGAATGGACAAATTTTATTTTATTTATTAATTTTTTTTGAGTTGATAGTTCAAAATTTTCTCAGCAAACTTTTATACTGATTGGGGTTTTAAAAGGTTCTCAGCTTCTTTTCCCTCTTTCCCTTTTGATAACCACAGTTTAACAGTCCTGCATGGTCGTGGGCTATGGTTGCAGATGGACATTTGCCAACTTTTAGCAAATTTATGTACTGATTGGGTTGATAAAATGTCATCAGCTTCTTTTTCCTCTTTCCTTATTGTTAACCATGGTTTAACAGTTCTGAATGGTCTTGGGCTATGGTTGCAGGGGGGACTTCCAATGTATTTAGCAACTCGCGGCCTCTACAATCTAAAACCTCCAACAGTATTTGTGCCTCCATGCATCAAAGAAGATGTGGTGAATTTACTTGAAATTCATAGAAGGATGAGCCAAGTTGAGTTGAAACTTGATTTAGTTGCACTTGGTCCGGGTATGCACCCCATCAGTTGACCTGTTTATTCTTTCTCATGCATATATTTACTTCTTACTATGCTTGATATCATAATGTTAGGGGAGACGTATGAAATACGTAACAACCTTGTTGCCAGACCATTCAGAACCCACCATGTGATACCCAGCCAGGTGCATATTTGAACCAGATGAAGACTGTCTTGTCAGAGGCATCTAACATCTAGTGTGTTTTTGTGGTTGCCAGTTTTCATTTTGTACCTTACGTGTCAAGTTTCAAATATGATACAGGGGTATGTCATTTATTCAGTGAGAAATAAGCTTAAAAAACAGTATGCTCACCTAAAAGGCCCTCAAATCAAAAAGTTGAAGCTTTCTGGCGTTGAGGTTTGTAACTATACCTTCCTTTTAGAAGTTCTAGTGGCTTGGACGCTATGTTATCTTTATAGAGCAAAATTTCTGTGCTTGCATCATAGGATGATTGAAAATGTTATTGTTATGTTTTGTATAGATTACAGATATTGTATTGTCTCCAGAGGTTGCCTTCACAGGAGACACAAATTCTGATTTCATTCTTGAGCCACGAAATGCAGATGCCCTGAGAGCGAAAATTCTTATAACTGAGGTTTGGTTCTTTTTTATCACCAGAAGTTGACTCTTGTATTCATTTTTCATCTGTACTCTTTGAATAATTTCCTGGACTATGCTTTATGCTTTTCGCTGTACTGATGGTTAAAGGTTTTGTTTGCGAAATATTTATGATGTCTACATGATGAAAACATGGTGGCAAAAATGATCAGTGACACTGCAGTTGCTCTAAGGGACATATTTTTTAAGCTTTTCAGAATCAGAATGAGCCATGATGCTAAGAAATATCTATAGGCATGCTATATAGAAGCTATGATATCAGCCCTAGATATTCAGTTTTTGGGGCTAATCTGACACCAAAACTATGGATATGTGGAGTACACTTAATGACACCAAAACTATGGATCTTAACATAAAAGATGGTTAAGGTTGAACATAGATGATTAACTTGCCCCTGTTGGGGAGATTTCAGACAAGAAGTCTGATAGGAATATAAAAGATAATCAAGAACAGTGGTTGCTAGTTTGCCAACCAAAGATAACTCTGTTGCTGTATCATTCATATGTGCAACTCTTTTTTTAGGCTTCCAGCAGCTGTGACCTGTCTTCATATATTGCAACTCTTTTCTGAGGCTTTTACTTGAACTTTGTACTTTTGGTTACTAATATGAGGGAAGAAAAACTTGACTACAATATTTTCTTGTTATCACCTACTTATTATCTAAGATTTTGGGTTCAGTTCGATCTGTTCAGAAAGGATATTCAAACTCATCAATGTACACCTGAAACAAATTAATTTTTGGTGGTTAATACGTTCTGAATAACCAGCACTATCAATCTTTAACAATGAGCACTATTTTATTGACTCAAACGCAGCCAAAGTTGACACTAGGATAGCTCAAATTTAATTAAACATAAACATTTTTTACTAACAATCAGCACTATCTTGTTGGATACTTTTGTATGTCTAACAGGATCTGAACCTTAACTTATTTACTTTGTCATTAAACAGTCTTCTGCTGGATCCTTTTGTTTGTCCTTTAAGATCTGAATCCTCTTTCTTCAATGGCATTCAAGTACTCCTTTGGGATTTGATGGTGTTTGTGTCTTGCATTTGCATTTTTTTTGTAGTTTCTAAATATTGCATGATAGGAAATACTACATGGCGTGCTGTTTTGTTCTTGTATTAATTTGCTTATTCAAGAAGATTTAGAAGTGTTTGAAAAACAGAGGATTTAGAGGCTATTTTGCTGGCTTCAATTAGGAATATCTGTAACTAAAAATGAAAGGTGTTTGCGGATGCAGATCCATGAATGGAATGTAGTTGTCTTTTTGCAGAGATCATAGAGTTGGTTGTTAGAGGTACTGTCATTGGTGAAATTCTTGCATTTACAATCACAACAACCCTTGATGAATGGTATGTGTATGAGCAATAGTTAAAAACCCTGATTGAAAGGCTGGTCTTGCAAATTGCTGTACAGAAACATCTCAACTTGTGTGTGAGATGGTTTCTCAATTGAAAAGCTAGAAAAAGTAGGATTTTGTTCAAGTGGATGTGGCAGTTATACAAGATTACAGTAGTAGTCCTGTACTTCTTGAGTGTGTATTCAGACCTCACAAGATACTCTTGTCATTTGTCAGGCGACCTTCTTAGATGATGAGAATGACATCGAACATGCACGCGAACATGGTCACCTGCATTTGCTCGAGGTAATAGTATTTCTCTGTTCTCTAGTTGTCATGATTGTGGATTTCCAAGACCATCCGGTTAATAACTTTCAATTTCACCAGGTTCTGTATGTTCTTCTTTTGCTTTTGGCCATATTAACACACTTGTAACAGTTTTACCCATGCTTCTGTTGAAATATTTCCTGAGCTTTTTTCCAATGTTGGGATTTTTTCAAGTAAAATCTGTGCACGTGTAGATAATGGAGCATGCACAGTGGTTCCGCAACAAGGCCATCTTGCTGACCCACTTCTCATCCAGATACAAGATTGAGGTATATGCCCATTACCCCCATAACATCCATCCATCCCTCATTCCTTTGGTCACAACTCAGCTAAACTAGAAACAAATTTTGGTCTTTGCAGGATATCCGCCAAGCAGTATCAAAGCTGCAACCAAAATTGTCTCCGAAGGTTGTTGCTCTCACAGAGGGCTTCAGATCGGCATACTAATACTGCACTTTGTCCGTGCAGGCAACTTCCTTTCATGCGATCTCCTCATTATGGATACATAGGTAATCTGATTGACACGATGGTTAAATTGTCATCATGAAAGGATGATTACTCATAGCAAACATGGATAGGGATCTACTTAAATGATGGTGGTCCGTTCCAGCATGAGCGTGAGTCGATACATCAAGATTACAACATCTGAATCGGCCCGCCCCAGTGCTGGGCACTGAGTTGGTACCCCAAAGCTATAACGTACAGATTGCCTAACTCAATGATGAATGATCGAATATTTTGTGTAATCGTTCGGGAAGTTAATCTTCATTCTGTCACCTTGGTGTATTTTTAGGGATCTACTTAGTCACTCCTATACTTTCCTCGGAATCGATAGGCAGTACCATGGTCATATACAGGCTAATACAACATGAAGCTCCTTGAGATGCACAATTGTCTGGTGACATCCGAGGTGCACTCTACGATTGGGGTGTCTCCGAATATTGAGTGAGCAATTTTTTCTTATGGATCATCGTCTTAATGATATGAGGTGGGATGACAAATAAGGGAAAGTCAAAACATATTCAAGCCCTATATGTAGTCTCAGTTTATCTAAGGTATAAGGGAGGAACTGAATCCTCAAAAGAGTTATATCTCCTTATTTTGGAGACCGTTGATAATGACTCTGGATTCGTATGAGAATATTATGGCTTTCGTAGCTCAAAGATATTGTATGTAATTATTGTTGTGCGTAGCTCAAAAGATATTGTGTGTCAGTCCTCCTCGATTACCCCTATATGGTGTGGCTGAGGAATTGGTATACACGTCTATCTCAAAACTCTATCAACTCCTTCGGTTAAGTACTTTGAGCTTAATTTATTTTATTAATTATAAATTATCAAAAAGATCTATAGTTTATCTTCATGAAATTTAGCAAGAAGAAAGTGAATCTCTTGCAAACTACATTGAGACGTTTATAAAAAAAGGAAAGAAGGAAAGAACGTTGTTGTTGGATTCGAATCCATTCGTGCTAATCAATGGCCTATGCCCTTCACGACTCTTCTGGTCTGTTGCCCAGAAATAATTGATTATACATCCATACTTATTTTAAAAAGAAAATTAGTATATTTTAGAGGAATCCTCTGTGGTCAAAAAGAAGAAAATAAATTTGAATAAACTTGTTAGGGATGATGAACATCCCACCCAACTAAACCCCAAATGAGTATCGATGTGAAAGAGAATTCACCTTGAAAATCTCTCATTCTAAAGTATTCTTTTGAATCAGAGAAAGGGGTATGATTTGAAACATTAGACAGAAGGGTTGATTAAAAAGAGACACCTAGATTATTTGACTCAGGAAGGAGACACTAACGTGGCTCGGGGATCCTATGCTAAAGAAAGTTCAAATCCACGATCTTCTAAGTCTTATATTTAGGATGTAGGGTTTCTTCTTTCTAGAATCATCCAGTAAGATCCTCCACCTAGTGCGTGAGGTCAGAATTATCCATTTGAAACCCTAGACCATATCGTAGTATCGACGATTGTTAAATCAGACTTCATTTGTTGAATGTCCTTCTGCCTTCGGCTATTATTGTCACGACTCAGGTTTGATGGGTTAACTACCTGTCAATTTTATTGAACTCAAATCACTTATAAAAATGTTTAAGCGAAATTGATAATAATACTATCATTCGTCAAGGTCAAGTATAATGCATATGAGACAGTCCAATGGTGACTCTATGAGTCATTTGATTCTAACTACAAGTAATCTATTTCTACTTGGGCCCCATTACCAAGTTTAATACTAAATATCACGACCAGGGCCTAATGGGCTAATTGGTCTGTCAACTTTGTTCAACTCAAGCCACTAGTCAAAATATTTAGGCTAAAATTAATAATAATATACTTATTATTCATAAGGTAAGGCACCTATATATAAGAGGAATTTATGTCAAAATCATAATATATAGCCTCGTCATGAGCAAGAAATGAAGTGCTTACCATCACCATATGTTGCATGTCTCGTCGAGAAAGGACTGTGTTTCCTTCGTATATAGTATATTCAATGACGATAGATGTACAATCCCTTAGTTCCACTTCATTAGTAAGACCACCCGTAGGAGGACGAGGTCCTTTGTGGGTTCGAGCCAATCAATCGATAACTCACATTAGAACGCACTCCTCTTAATGGGACAAAGTTCAAAGATTAGACATCCCCCATATACAAGGTCTAAGAGACCTTTAAGCTCTACCACCAGACCCTTCATTTGCTTGTCAGTTCGATCGTATAAACAGTGTGAGATTAATAGATTGGTTTACAAAGATTGATCATTGAGATTGTAATAATCTCAAATCCTTAATGGTTCAGCTAGGTATTATCCTCGAGCCCCTCGGTTGGCGTAAAAACTATTTGTCAAGAAATCATTGCAAATTGTCAAAAACCAAATTAAATTGAATTAAACATTATAACTAAGGTGGCACACCTACACTTTTTTTTTTTTTTTGTAGTTAAATTAGGAGACTAGTTTAGCCTCCAAATGATTATGTTTTAAGTTAAAATTTAGTGTGTCTTTATTTTTATATATTTTTTAATTTTTTATAAAATTTCATAATAATTCAATATCGTTTGGTTAGCTAGAATAGTGAAGTAAAAAATTTTCGGAGATTTTTGTGATGCTTTGATTGATACTAACTAGTTCATTTGGTTATACAGTGAATTATTAAAAAATTGATGATGAAATTTAGATAAATTTTTATGTTGAGTATAGTCTATTATATAAGAGATTTTATCAATTTTTTTCTATGAATTATTGCTATGAATTATTATAAATCAATAATTCAAGACATAGAGTTCTTAATTAAGATATCTCGATCATTAAGGAACATGATCTTTCATTAACATCATCAATTTTTAGTTCAATCAGGTAAATATAAGTTTAATTCACTATAAAATAGTAGTAATATAAATTATCATATGCATAAAGTATTTTGAAAGAATGTTTCGATTGATATGATCATCATTAGCTAATCATGAGTTAAATATGAATGTATGTATGCTATAAGTATAAAAATATCTTGTATACATGTATATGCGATGGCGTATGGTGTGGGAGTGCACGTGTTTTTCATGACGTGTAGTGTGGGAGTATATAAATATGTTACGACGTGCAATGCATATATATGTTATGGCGTGCGATGTGAGAATGCATGTATGTATTATAACGTGCGATGTAGGAGTGCACGTATGTATTATAACATGTGGTGTAAGAGTGCACGTATATATTATAACATGCGATGTGAGAGTACACATATATATTATGATGTGTGATATAAGAGTACATGTATATATTATGATGACATATGATATGAGAGTGCACACATATATTATGATATGAGGTATATAAGTGCATAACTTTGTTATATTTCCTCAGGATTATGCTTGCTAAAGAAGTCATAGGATGAGATATCTATCGTTAAATATCTTATGTCAAGGATCTTGAAATATGTATGTTAATCTAAATAAAATTATAAAGACTTATACTTACTAAGTAATTATTCACTACAAATTTTATTTTGCATGTAATTAGATAGAAAAATGAGCATGTGCAAGTCTATGCCAACGTAGATATGAATGACGATATGTGAGCATTTTATGTATATAACTTTTGGATATGTTATGTTTATTGTTTTTCTTTTGGTTAAATGTTATAATCATGTATATGTATCAACAATAATACTGTGTATAGGGAAACCCTATCATTTTATTTATAAGTTAGCATGTTTTAATTTTAAGATTACCTACTTTTCATTATAGTCCTATTGATCATGCATACGAGGTATGAGAGCAATTAGGAGTAGTATATTATAGTACCAATAGATCGCATGAGTGGATGTGAACCACTTCGACATCTATTATAAAAGTCAAAACCTAAAGCGACAAGAGTTGATGGCGCGCACGACACACTACCCATGAAGCATCATATGATGAAGATACGATTAAGTCCAATCATAAAACAACCCCTAATGATGACACAACCAAATTTAATTATGAATCATCCCCTAACAACGAAGTCGCTACCGAATTCGACCATGAAGTCTCACCCAAAGAAGAAGACGTGATCTAATCTGATCATCAAGTGTCTCATAACAATAATGAGATCAAATTTAGGCATGCAATATCCTAACAAGGACACAATCAATTCCAACTATAAAGAGTTCCCTATAATGATAAACAAACTCGATCATAAAACGATGATATAACACATGCAGCCGACATCATATTTCAAGCAGATCCATGTGTCAAAATGGAATGTGGGAACAAATGATACGAGTGCTTTGACACATAGATAATCCAACGACACGTCATATATCTCACCTGATTGACACGATGATTAAGTCGATCTCCTATTGGGTTGATTATCCTAATGTAATTGTTCAAAAAGTTAATCCCCACGGCAACTTCACACTGTAAAAAACCTCTCCGATGTATCCTCAATCCTATCCGAGAAAAAAATCCTTCTCCCAATCGAAACTCCATACTAACTTTAAGCATCAATTACGCCACCCACCATAATCTTTTGTTGAATTCTTTATGATCTCCTGCACACCCCCAACTTGTGGCAATCTCGACAATCGAACTCGGATCGGATTTGAGTCCACACCACTTCTCGGACGACAACAGACCCAACATATTTTGCATTACATCCTTTGTGTGAGAATCTCCAAAGTCAAACCCATATTAGATCCGAGTCCGCATCACACGTGGGTGGCACAACCAATCCAACACGTGTCAAACAATCAGAAGGATCAACATGCCACAGAATCAAGCTGCCTCAATCGAGCGAAAGATTCGATCGTATTGTCAGCATGATTGATTCAATAAATCCAACGCATGGAACAACAGGCAGCATGGAGTGAACAGGGAGGATCAACCATCAATGCTGCGACTCCCATGAAACATTTAGATATTTGGGAACCCAGAAGAAGGAACGTTACAGAGAAACAAAGAAACATCTAGCAGCCATACTCCCATAAAACAATTTAGATATTTGGGAACCCAGAAGAAAAAACGTTGCAGATAAACGAAGAAATATCGATCAGGCCATACCCCAGACTCTGCCAAAAGTTGCAGGGACGAACACCCGGTAGACATTAAAATGGCGTGTTGCTCGCTGCACCGAGTTCTCTCAAATTCTTGGCCTGAAAAGATCATCAAAACCACAGCATGGGATCATCAATGCTGGGATCGCCAGGAATTCAGGAAGCTGCATTACGATGTCATAATGCCGTAAAAGTATAAACTTTATGCAAATTATGCAATGAGATATTGCTACGTTTA